CACACACCCTGAACTTGGGCCATTCCACCCTCCACCCCCAGCCTCTCTCAGCTTAAAGCCTGGCCATGAAGCTTCAGCAGGAACAACAGAATCCAGAGCCCAGGCCTTCCTCAGCTCAGGACTGGGGGTGACTTCAGAAACACGATCACAGCGACCTCTCGCCTCCGACATCAGCACATGCGCAAACGCTCTATCTGCACAGCCCACCGTCCTACACCATCCCCGGGCAGCGACTCGCTGCCTCTGCCATTCCTTCTCTGCGTTATCTGACAACTGTTTACTTCCTTAGCTTGCATCCTTTCTCTCTTTCTGCTCTTAGGGTGACCCTATGTGCTGGTTTTCCCAGGACAGTCCAAGTTTATACCTGTTTTCCTGGAGTAATTAACAATGACCCATTTCATTACCAGAAATGTCCCAGATTGGTTGATAAATGATGGTCCAGGTACCTGGGCTGCTCTCTGGTTTTCGGTATCTCTTGCCATCTGGCTCCTGGAACACCCTTCTCCAATCTCTTGAGGCCCCAGCAGAATCTTTCAAACACTCTTCATGTTTCCCCCTTCTCCATGGAGCCGCCCCTGATGTGATCCTCCTCATTCACCAGACCAAGAAGCTCTTCTCATTGTTGTGCCCGAGGGCAGGGGGTAAAGGGATTAAGAGACAGGACAAGAATTGAGAGAGAGAAAAAATCATTCCATGGCACGGAGGTTAAAAGAGACCAGGAGCAGCCTCTCACCAGATTCCACGAGCATCCAGTCAGCAATGGGGCCCCAAGCTTATCAAACAGAAAGTGGTCCTGGGGAAAGCAAAGCAACTTGGGTGAAGAACCATCATGGTGGCCCCTGGGCCTCCCTGCACAGCCTCCCCTCTGTCTCTTTAACCATCTGCTCTCCCCACCCGGCTCCTTCTCCAGGACCCTCACATCACTAAGCTGCTGCTGCTCAGCCTCCATCATCTCACTGGGCCTGCAGTGACATCCAGCCAGGTCACCTTCCAGGCCGCTCATCACATTCACAACAGGTTCCACCTCTTGTTGCTCAGCCCGGGTGCAGGCTGGAGGCAGAATGAGTCCCCGGATACTTCAGCCAGTTCTGACTCTTGAGGACAATCTGGACCACTCATCAAAGACAGCAGAATGGATCTGAGGGATAAGGAAAATGAACACAAGTCACAGAAACTCAGAGAGTGGAAACAAGGCACTTGGAGAAGGAGAGATCTCAGGGATTAGAGGGCCCTGTACTTTCCTCCTGTATGTGCTGGAAGGAGTGGCCCTTGGAGCGAGCACTCTAATTGAGAGGGCACTGGGACCCTTTCCCAGACGTCCCACTTTGGAGCACAGTCATTCTCTTCCACTCTGCCTTTTCCATCTCTGCCACTCCTTCAGATAGGACTCTTTCCCCACATTAAGATTAAATCCTCAGCAGTATAATGACCGTGAGTCAGGGAATAAACAAGGTGAAGGCACTGGAGATACAGAATGTTGTCTATGAGGTGACACGACCTGGAGGGGGAATACAAGGCCCACCCTACTGGCATTCAGGTCAGTGGTGTCTTGTGTGGTCCAGGGCTCATACCTGTTGCATCACTCCTGGATCACAGGGTCAAGCAGCTCTGCAAATACCTGAAGGGGAATTAAGAGGGAGAGGTTGTTACACGGAGGAAATTCCTCCCCAGACATCACATATGGATTAATTTCACCAACAGAAAACTTGCATATGGATGGTCCATGGTCTTGAGGGGAAACAAGGGATCTTTAGGGAAAAGGCACTGGGATTACTGGGAAGATGAGATTTTGTCGACAGATTAGTTGAAATTAGATATGAATTGCTCAGTCTTCTACATCACAACATAAATCATAAAGAACTAAAATTCTAAAATTCTCTAGGTGTACAGGAGCCTAGAGTAACTAGTTTCAACATGAAAACAAAGAGTGCAGTTCTTAGGGATACACACAAACAAAACATCTTCTGGCTGAGGAATACAAATAAGTAGCTAAACCTCTGACCTCCTGGTGAGATGTTGAGAACTTTTCTAAGATACTTAAGCAGGGTGCAGTGGTGCACTCCTATAATCCCAGCTACTCTGGAAGCTGAGGCAAGAAGACCACAAGTTTGAGGCCAGCTTCAATAATTTTGAGAGAACATGTCTGAAAAAATTATGAAGTATCTACTATGGTATATGTGGAAACTTAGGTGCTGGGAAAGTTGTAAATAAGACAATCAAGGTTTCTGTTCTCATGGAGCTTATAATATAGCACATTTCCATATAAATTAACCATTAAAAATCAGTAAGAAGCACTAAGCAGAGAAGAGGACAAGTTAAGAAAAATGATGGGATGGCTATCTTAGATCTAGTGACCTGAGAAAATGTCGCTGAAGAAAATTGCAGCCATGATCTGAATAACACAAATAAGTAAGCCATGCAAACATGAGGAAAGACCACTTCAAGCTCTGAACAGAGCCAGCATGACAGGCCCAAGGTCAAACAGTCCCGAGATGGCATCAGTCAGGGATGAGCCATGTTTGTGGTGCTTTATGTAGGAATAAAATACTGTATCTCCTAAAATCCCCAAACTTAACTTCTTCCCTCTTAGCTTCCCATTGTGAAAAGGTAAAATATGCCTGATTTTTTTTTCTTGGAACCCGGGATCGAACTTGGGACCCTGCACCTGCGAGGCAGGTGCCGGAACCACTGAGCTAAATCCCTGGCCCGATTTTTTTTTTTTTTTTTTTTTTTGGTACTGGGGATAGAACATGGGTCCTTGCGCTTGCGAGGCAGGTGGCGGAACCACTGAGCTAAATCCCCGGCCTGATTTTTTGATAAATCCAAGATAAAACTCTCTGATCATACAAGAATATTTTTTCCTACTCACCTGTGATGCCTACTGGGCCCAGCCCCCACTTAAACTCTCTAACTTTACCCTCATCCTTGCTCATTGTTTTCTGGCCACCAGGGCTCTCTGTCCCTCTAACACGCTGATCTCAGTTACATGACAGCCTCTTTGCAACCCTTTTACCTCGTCTAAAAGGCTCTCTCCAAGATCTACTTCCTATCAGGTTTCAGCTCCAAGGTTTCTTCCCTGACCACCCTGATTATGTGCTTCTCCCACCACCAATCAGTACCATCTGATTTTATTTTTCTCTCCTAATACTCTCACCACTAACTCAATTTATTTTATCTGTATATACATTTTTTTTGGTACTGGGGATCGAACTTGGGCCCTTGCGCTTGCGAGGCAGGCGGCGGCGGAACCACTGAGCTAAATCCCCAGGCCTGTATATACTTTTGACCTTTTAAAATGGTCATAACATACATAAAGTCAATATGGTCATATGGTCATATGACCAACATACATATGGTCAATACATAACATAAAGCTAGACTTGGTGGCACATGCCTGTAATCCCAGCACTGTTGGAGTCTGAGGCAAGAGAATCATTAAATTCAAGCCCAACCAATTGAGTGACTTAGTGAGACCCTGTCTCAAAATAAGAAATAAAAGGGCAGGGATGTAACTAAGTGCGGAGGCTGGGTTCAATCTCCAGTGGAAAAAATATATATATTTATATATTGTAAAGTTCACCCTATTGACCATTTTAAGTGCATTTACACTGTTGTATAATCAATTTCCAGAACTGTTTTCACCTTGCAAAACTGAAATTCTACCACTAAACTTCTCTTGCCCTCCTCCAGTCCGACAAGCCCCCTTCTGCTTTTTAACCCTTTGAAGATGTCTATTCTTGGTACTTCACATAATGAAATCATATGTACTTGTCTTTTGTGACTGGTCTTTTTTCACTGTGTCAGAATTTCCTTCTCTAAACCCAAATCCCACTCCACTGCACATATATACCACATTTTGTTTAATCATCCATTGACACTGAGATGACTTCTTTTAGCCATTGTCAGTAATGCTGCTATCAGTGTGAATGATGAACTCTGTAAGACCTACTTTTGCTTCTTCTGAGTACTATGCACCCAGAAGTGGAATTACTGAGTTGTATGGTGATTAATCTTTAATTTCAGGGGGATCCACCATACTGTTTTCAATGGCAGCTGTATCATTTTACATTCCCAGCAACAGTGCACAACATTTTTCCCAACTTTCCTATTTTGTTGTGCTGGGGACTGAACCCAGGGAGGGCCCCAAGCATGCTAAGATGCTCTACTATTGAACTCTACCTTGAATCCTTAAAAAAAAAGTAACCTTAATGGGTGTGAGATGGATATCCATAGCCCCCCCCATGTTTATTTGTACATGGAGGTGGAAAATTAAGTACTGTAATTAGTATGGATCCACTCAATTATCCCAAGCTTTAAGATAATCATTATTGTTCTAGTAATGACCTGGAAGTTGCCGCCACCAGCACCACTACCACCACCATCTAGAAATCCTATTTCTTCCCTTCCTTCCGGGACAGATCTGAGCTCCCTCTAAGGAATTCAGGCTGAGGTTCGGTGAAGCCGCTCTGGCTACTTTCTCATGGAGGGGGGTCGTTTTTTCAGGACTCCTAATTACAAATGACGATATGGACAGATTCTGATGGAACTGTTCTTGCCAGCTTAATGTAGGCACTGTATACCACGGGATGGAGAAAACCATCACCGGCTTAGGGAAAGCACCTATCACCATCCGCAGCCTCTGGATGACTGGCGAGTCCCAGGGCTGGGGCTGGGGTGGCGACCGGAGACCTCTGCAAGCCTTCACGTCCTCTCTGCAGGCTGGAGGGTATTTCCACTGAGTCACAGGCCCTGTGAAGAAACCAACCAGAGGCAGGGTGGGAGCAAAGGGCCCCATACACTTCCGGCGGCTTCCCAAGTGAACCGACAGCGGAAGGAACTGACGGCGGAAGTCCCGCCCTTAGCGCGGCGACGCCCAGTGGGCGGGACCAGTGCGTACACGCTGATTGGCTGTGCCGGGCGGGCGGGAGAACGGGTAACAGGCGAGCGGCCCTGGGCTCGTCCTACGGTGAGGGAGGCGGGCGCTGGGCGGAGAGCAGGAGCTCGCCTGAGGCAGGATCGCGGCGCACGTGCGATTAACTGGCTGACCGCTCCTCTGGCGCTGGCTTCTCTTTTTGGGGCAGTCGCTTGGGGCCTTGCGACCTGGGTCCCTCTCAGTGGCTCCAGCCCTGCTGACGCCTCTTTAACCCATTTTTAAAATGACTTTCTGGAAGGCGGCAGGACACTAGGTCGACTAGGCAGTATCTCTCTTCCAACTTTCTTTCGTTCTTTTTTCCTTTTCCAGGCTGGGGATTGAACAGGGCCTTCACATGAGCCACATCCTCAGCTCAGCCTTTTTATTTTTTTGTTTGTTTGAGACAGGGACTCACTAAGTCCTTAAATTGACCAGACTGGGCTCACATTTGGGATCCTCCTGCCTCAGCCTCCCAGGGCGGTGGAATTCACACTAGTTTTTGCTGCCACACCCAGCCTTCTCTTCATACTTTTATCTCCTTTTGTTAAAAATGCATGCGCAAGGGCACACACACACACACACACACACACACACACCTACCTACCTTCTAATCCAACTCTGAAGGAAAGGCCCTTGACCCTTGATTCTTCTCTTTTCTTCACAGACAGCCATGGATCACCATGCTAGGCACATGCATCTGCCTAGAGCTGATGCCATTCGTTCTCGTCGCATTGACCTGGAGCTTTTTCAAGCCTCTGGCCAGCCTGTTCCACTTTTCACGACCCGGGAGATACTTGGTCAGCAGCCTGATTTCTTGCTGCCCTAAATTTAAGACCTCTGTCCACATCTTCCAAAGACCAGGAACCAGAGGGTAGAAAATTCAGGGAAGACTGGTTTGGTGGCTAGTTTGGAGGATACACCAAACTTGATAAATCATGTTGAGGGTTTTCCAGTACAGGAGATTAAACCCTTCACGTTAAGCCACACCCCTCAGCCCTTTATTTTTTGAATTCTGAGGCAGGGTCTCATTAAATTGTTAAATTGCCAGGCTGGGCTTGAACTTAGCATCCTCTTACTTCAGCCTCCCAAAGTGCTGAAGTTGCAGCCAGCTACCATGCCTGACTTATAAATAAAACGCTGAATCCAGGAAATAAAGCCCTTGTCACTCCCTTTTAGGGTACTACCCTTGATTAACTGAGAAAAGTCTCTGCCACAGATACTTAAAACTTGGAAGGTTGAGCCTGCTGCTCTTATTGTGGGTGTGGTCAGTGTTGGTCATAAGCAGGACCTGAACTCTCACCCACACTAACACACGTTTATCCACTGACACCCCCGCCCCATCTCCCGTTGCCCATGCTGGCCTTGAACTCCTGAGCTCAAGCAGTCATCCTGCCTCAGCTTCTCGAGTAGGTGGAATTATGGGCACTATCCTTTTAAAAATTTTTATCCTAGATCCTTCCCTTCAGAAGCCACTTAGATTGAGAGATCAACACCAGCAAGTGCGCTTCTCCACAAAGGCCCGGCATTTAGGACGGGTTTCACATGCCCAGCGACTGCTGTGTAGATTTCACGTTCGCCATAGTCCTTGGCCACCTCTTTCCCTGTGGGCTGAATGGGTTTTGGAGCGTATCCTTTCGTGTCAGTCATTCTTAGCCATGGCTACTCATCATCTGCCTAATGGTTTCTTTTTCCCTACATTCCTATTTTCGTTGTATTCTCACAGCTTACATTCTTTCTTCCTTCTCTTTCTGTGGTGCTAGAGATGGAAGTCAAGTCGTCCTACTTCCGCTTATATTCTTGCCCGTATTATTTCAGCTGTGTGGATCAGGAAGAGTTCCACTCAGTATGTTTCCTTAACAGAAACCAGATCCTTGGTTCAAGAACCTCATCACTTTCCTCATCATTTTGAATGCAATTGTACGGATGATTACAATAGGTGAGGACTGACCTGGAAGAGGAAATGGGGGAGTTATTGTTCTTTTCAATTGATCATTTTACAGTTTTGAATATCGTTTGAATTGTAACAATTGTGAGATCAATATATTAAGCCCCCTGGAATAGAATTTGTGCACCTGCTAAGGTGTAGAAGCATTTGGAGGGCTCTCAGGACTACTGTGCAGGAGACAGGTGGTCTGGGCACTTACGGACCAGTGTCAGTTATAACAAGGTAGCAAATCCACAGGAACTGGAGATGAAAAGATCAGTTATATTTCTCCAAATATTCAGTCCCCCACTCTGCTGGGGATTGAACCCAGGGCCTTCCCCATGGTAGACGAGTGCTCTACCATTGAGCCACCTCTCCAGCCCTGAACCTTTTCTGCAAGATACTAGTACCCATCCATGAAGGATCTGACATTTAGATTTTGTAAGTATATTTAAAAAGATTTAAGTATGAATTTTACTTTTTTTTTTTGGTATCAGGAATTGAACTCGGGTCCTTGCACTTGCACAGCAGGCGACGAAACTACTAAGCTAAATCGCCAGCCCATTAAGTATGAATTTTAGAAGCTCACAAATTAAAGTTAGGGACAACTGAGGTAGCAAGTGAGCCAAAAAATTACTAAGAAGGTAAATGACTCTAAAGCCAATCATGAGTTATGTGAAAAATATTAAAAACAGAAGGGCACTCACATTTGATTGTTATTTCCAACAAGCTGCTCAGAAATGATGAAAAGAGAGTAGAAATGTTCACTTGTTTCCTCCTCACCTTTTGGGTTTTTTTTTGGTACTGGGGATCGAACTCAGGACCTTGCACTTGCGAGGCAGGCGGCAGAACCACTGAGGTAAATCCCTGGCCCTCCTCCTCACCTTCTTATGGGCATCTTGCAAATAGTCCTTCAGTGCACTCAGGTCAAAGGTATTTAATACACAGCAATACCTGATTCCCTGACCTACTCCTGTATGTACTGTATACTTCATATACTTTGAAGTATTTTTAGTTCCTCCCCATAAGGTATAGATTTGGAACTAAGTCATTCACAATTCCCTGTTTCGTTTTTTTAGATTTTAATTTTTCTGAGACAGGGTCTTATTATGTATTCCAGGCTGGCATTGAACTCACTATGTAGCCCAGGTTGGTCTCAAACTTGCAGTGATCCTCCTGTGTCAGGCTCCTGAGTGCTGGGATTACAGATGTGCACCACCATGTCCGGCTCTAGGTCTATTTTAACATGAATTTTTTCCCCCTAGAACAGTGGTGGAAAACCTATGGCATGTGTATTATTTGTTTTTCTTTTAAAACAAAAGATGCTAATGTATGAGTTGTTTTTTCTAAACTAAAACCTCAGTATTCAGGTTTAATTGTAGATTGGCGCTTTGTGGTAAATAAGTGGGCTTTGGGTTGCAGTTTGGGCACTTGGTCTCTAAAAGGTTCACTGTCGCTGCCCTGGAGCACAGCACACATCTTCAGGTGTATGAAAGTTGTAGGTATGCTGACACTCTTGCAATTCCAGCACTCTGGGAGACTGAGGCAGGAGAATCCCAGGTTTGAGCCCAGCCTGGGCAACTTAAAGGACATAGTGAGACCTCGTCTCAAAATTTAAAAAACACTGAGGGTAACTCTATGCCAAGGCCCTGGGTTCAGTCCCCAGTACAGGGTGTGTGTGTGTGTGTGTGTGTGTGTGTGTGTGTGTAAGTGATGATGAGAGTTAAAAGATAAAGGCAGTGAGTGAAAGAATAGTAAACAAATAACATCAGGATTCTAAAGAATTCCGTTTGCTCTGTGGAGCACAGTCAATTTTCATCAGAGAAGAAGAGGAAAGGAAGATAGCAGAGGACTGAGGGTTCCTACTATAACTCCATATGCCCCATGAATCCAGCTTCTTGTTTCACATCTCTGGTAAAGCACTTTGCCTATCATAGCCCACATTTTCATTCTCGACTCAAGACCCATTGCCTTCAGGTAAATTTAGGAACTGATTTAACAACAACCACAGGGTGGGGGACAAGGAAAATCCCTAGATCGCAGGATGGGCCGGAAGTGGCACACAGCTGTTAGACACCAGGATAGAGGGGCCACAGTGGCACAAGGTTTCAGGGTCAGATGTGTCCTCCCCTGTATCCCACAGCCTGAGGCTACAGCATTAAGAAAGAGAAATCAAAGAAAGATGGAGCAGTCGTGAGCACAACTGTGATTTATAAGCAATCCTTCAGCTTCCTACTTCCTTAATTTTTATTTTTCCTTTGCTCTACTTTCACAGAATTGCTGGATTCTACAAACAACAGTCTGTGGCCACTGAAGCTGTCTTTGGAGGTGGCAGTTTGGTTTATCCTGCCCGTTTTCACTGTGGAAATCCTTCTGAAGTGGGTAGCCAGCTTCTCCCTCTTCTGGAAGAATGCCTGGAATGTATTTGACTTCACTGTCACCCTGTTGGTAAGGATAGATAGCCCGAGAACCAGATCGTGGGTTGAGGAGTGTACTTAGATGAATGGAAACAACAAGAAAACAAAGAAATGAATACAAATATCCCCAAGTTCCTGTGACTTTTTTTTGGTCAAAGTCAGACATTGCAGGAATCATTGGTATTAGGAACAAGGTAAACTCTAACCCCAGCATAAGTCCCGACAGTGACAGCTGCCAGTTCTGGAGTGCTCAGTAAGTGCCAGGCACTGTTGTAAGTGTTTTGCTCGTGTTATGTCATTCGTGCTGCACAAGAAGTCAATGATACAGCACTCATTTTACCCTCTCTTATATCTTGACAAGCTGAAATGCAGGGGATCAAGAGCTTAGTGTAGAAAGTCTAACTAGGAAACAACCTCCTGAGAATGGTGGTCAGGGTTGATTCGGGGAACAGCGGTGCCCAGTTGCATTCACACTCTTGTTTCCCACAGCCCTTGCTTTATGAAATCCTGGTGCTGGGCGGGGTAACAGGCCATCCTGTGTGGCTTGAGCTGCTGAGTATCTGCAGCGTGATGCGCTGTTTCCAGCTCTATGCACAGTTCCATCAAGTCCGCGTTATTATTTTGGCCCTGGTCAGGACCTTTAAGGTGATTCGACATGTGCAGTTTAAGTGTGGGTTGGGGGTGAAGAGACGTGGGGTTTAACATGTGACGTGCAACAAGCCTGGGCGGGTCAGAGAAGGCCGATTGGGGGCTGCAGAACATTACTGGATGAGAATGGCTGGGAATGAGCCGCCTGGTCTCCAGATGCCTGGGCTGCAATGGAAGGAAGGGCAGGGTATGAAGGGCTGTGGTAGGCAGTCACGGGATGGGCCTCCTCTGCCCTCCTGACTTAGGTCCTGTCCTCTAGAGCATCCGATTTCACTTCATGTTGCTGCTCCTCCTCGTCTACATTTTTGCCGTGGCTGGTGTCTACTTCTTTAAGGATTACACCCGTTCAACTCGCCAGGACCTGGTGTACAAGGAGGCCTTCTTGTAAGCAGGGCTAGGGAAAGCCTGGGTGAGGGAGGGAATTTGGGTTGGGTACTTAGCACCTCATCCAAAGTACAGTCATAGTCTAGGAAGCTTGAGTAGGGCACGGTTGGGAGAGGGAGAGAGAAAGCAAAGGGATAGCAAGTAGCACTGGCTCTGATCTTAGGGCAGGGCAGCTAGTTATGGGTTGGTTCTGGGTTTTACAAATTTAAACACAACACGAGCCACCTTTACATACAGCATACTCCAGGGGAGAAGTCCTGGTTTCTGTGACTTAGTTACCTCTTTTGAAAGATGGGAACAATAGTGGTGCTACCTCAGAAGAGTGTGGGTATAAATGAGGTAGGTCATGCACTGAAGCACTCGGCATAGGGCTGAGCACAGTTCAAGTGACCGGTAGATGTCACTGTGACTTTCGGACCAAGTCACTGCTCTAACCCCCATCTTTAGGTGTGCTCCTTACACAGGCACACAACTGTGCTTGTTCAACAGTAAAATCCCTAAGATCTCTGTCTAGAAAACACTTGTTTCAGAGAAAGTCAACTTGAATTTAGAGGAGATAATTCCATTCATGAATTGTAATCCAGTCTCCTTTTCTGGTACCTGGGATCGAACTCAGGACCTTGTGCTTTCGAGGCAGGTGCAATGCCACTGAGCTAAATCCCCGGCTGTAATCCAGTCTTTCTTAGACTATTAATGGGTAATTTCATAAAAGTATTAAGAAGGTCCTAGTATTCATCTTATTCAAGCCCTGATGTTTTCAATAAATTGTATGTAGGGAACTACGTAGGGAAGAACAATTTAGATATCTTCCTTTTGTGGACAAAAGATCTCAGAATGGTATCTAAGTATCTTTATTTTGGAGTGCCTGGGATTGAACCCTAGGCCTTGTGCATATAAGAAAAGTGTTCTACACACTGAACTACACACCCAATTCTGAAATAATTTATAAATTAATTGTATTAATTTTACTATTTTTATGTTATTTGTATACATTCATTATCATTCATTATTTGGGACTCCATATGTTTGTGTCAGATATCCATCCATTTTATTTACCTGTCAATGCATACTGGTGAGTTAGGATAAAATCTGTAGAGCAGTGATGAATGAATGAATTTAGAAAAAATATCTACTTGTGATTCATTCACTTTTTAAAAATTCAGCCAGTATTTATGGAGTACAGTACTTACTGTGCCCCAGGACAATTGCAATAATGAGAGGCATTCCTAGGTTATTCACAATAAAGGAAAACCTAATAAAAACAACTTCAACCTGAAGAACAAATAGCTAAAAAAAATTGAATATGATAGAAAATATGCCAAAGTCAGAGCAAAGTACTGTACAAAGAAATGCGCTTATGTTGCTTTAAAAATAGGAATTGTACAGTTTTTGAAAGGCTTAGATCTCTGCTCCCATCTCTCCACACACCTTGGTCTGCAGGGGCCTGCCATATTCCCTAATAACCGTCTTCATCCTCTTCACGATGGATCACTGGAACGCGCTGCTCCGGGACATCTGGAAGGTGCCGGAAGTCAGCTCTGTCATCAGCAGCACCTATATCATCCTCTGGGTGCTGCTGGGCTCCATTATCTTGCGAAATGTCATAATAAGCACAATGGGTGAGCAGAGAGCGGGCGCAACTCAGAGGCAGGAGTGACTGGGAAGAATGAGTCTGACAGCTGGGACTGGAGGACGATGGGCAGAGAGGAACTAGTGTAGCAGGCAGGCTCCGATCCCATGATGGCTGTGTCACTTGGTTTCTCCCCATCCAGCTAATAACTTCCGGGACATTCGGGATGAGCTGGATAAGGAGATGGCACATCTGGCAGCTCAGCACAAGGCTGATGTCCTCAAGCTGCAGATCCTCAGGAGGTCTGCTCCTCGCTTGTCAAACCAGACTCTGCCTCCCGAGAGCTTTCTGACCTCATTCCCTGCTTCCACTCCTTGGCCTTGATCCTACTTTTCCCCTTGTGACAGAATATTTGCCCAAAGACTTAAGACTTCCCCAGCTCCGGTACATTGTCTGATTCTTCATCCACTTCGAGGGGCTTCCCCATTCTTCTTTACCCCTTCACTATAATCTGTCCTCCCCACTCAGCTTACTTCATTTGCTGATCCGAAGTCTTTTGTTTCTTATTGCACTTCAGTTTAAGATAGCTTGCTTCATTCTTTTTGTTTCTGGTTTTTGGTGTGTGTGTTTGCAGGAGACAGAACCTGTCCTTTACAACACTGAGGTCAAGCCACAGCAAAATCAATCCCAGGTGAGCAGCATATATGTGAACTGAGATGGCTCCCCAAATTATCTGTCTATGTCCATAATCTCTGGGACCTCGGGAATTTGTCTTTATTTGGAAAAAGGCTCTTTGCAGATGTGGTTAACCTAAAAATTCTTGAGATGTGATCATCCTGGATTATCCAGGTGGACCCTAAATGCCATGACCAGGAGGATGTGAAGACAGAAGAGAAGACAGACACAGAATAGGCAAAGGTGATGTGAAGACAGAGATAGAGACTGCAGTGAGGCAGCCAGAAGCCAGAGGAGGCTGAGAAATGCTGAGTAGCAGCCAGAAAGGCCAAGGAGTGAGGACGTTTTCTCCTAAAGCTCACATGGGTAGTATGGCCCTGCCAACACTGATTTGGACTTGTGGCCTCTCAAACTGGGAGAAGAATGCATTTCTGCTTTTTTTTTAAAGCTACCAGTTTATGGCTATTTGTTATGGCACCCAGAGGAAAATAATATAGATACCTTCGATGAAACTAATACTATTCTAGGCCCTGAATGTTTAGCAGTGAATAAGAAAAGTTACATACGGGTAGAGGTGAAGAGACAACAAGCAATGAACATGTAAATAATGCGCTAAAATATGATAAACCTCATGGAAAGATTAAAATTAGAACAGGTAAAGGGGAGTGCGTAGGGGTTGCACGTGGGTTATAGTTTGAACAGTAGTCAGTGAAAAGGACTTGGAGTTGGGGAAGGTACGTCCCTGTGGATTCCCAGCAGATTTTCTTCCATCAGTAGGAAGGTCCTAAACCGGAAGCAGGCCTGATGTGGGTGAGAAATAACAAAGAGGCTCTTGTGCCTGGAGCAGAATGAGCAGGGGGAAGTGGCAGGAGATGGGCAAGACACAGTGGGCTGGAGACCTGATTCTGTGGAACAGAAGGACGCCACTGTAGGGCCTTAGACCTCTACTCAGAGGGAAATGGGAAGCAGAGCAGGGGGTGACAGGAAGTGACCTACATTTAAAAGGATTACTATGAGCTGGGCTTGGTGGCACTCACTTGTAGCCCCAGCAGTCTGGGAGCCTGAGGCAGGAGGATTGCAAGTTCTAGCCCAGCCTGGATGATGTATCCAGATCTTATCTCAAAATGAAAAAAAAGAGCTGGGAATGTAGCTCAGTGCAAAGGCCCTGGATTCAATTCTCAGTACTTAAAAAAAAGAAAAGAAAGAGGGAGGAATTATTCTGGTTGCTATGTTGGTGACAGACTGGAAAAGAATGAGGGGAGAAGCGGAGCATGGTGGCACACTCCTGTAATCCCAGTACTCAGGAGACTGAGGCAGGAGAATCCCAGGGCCAGCCTGTGCTGCATAATGAGTTTGAGGTCAGTTCGGGCAATCTAGGAAGACCATGTCTCAGAAAACTTTTTTATAAGGACACGGGAGATATCCGAGAGGTCAGTAAGGGACATTGCTATGGCCCAAAGGAGATGAGGAAGGCATACAGCAGCACTGTGGCAGTGAAGTAGGAGAAAAGATGCATTTTGATGGTAGAACCAGCAGGATTTCTTGGTGGACCTGATATGGAAGGAAGAAAAGGATTAAGAATGATGTAAGGGATGAGGCTGGAAAGGCCTAAACTTAGAGTCTGGGACTAAACTGGTGCTCATATCCTTAGATCCCAGCTTTAGGGCACAGCCAGGGCCTGGACTAGAATAATGAATGATCTAGTCAGTTGTAAATGCGTTGGAAATAGTAAAAATTTTTTCTAATATGTTCAGAGAAGTCAGGCGACACAGGATGTCTCTGGACTTCCAAGAAGCTTCCTCTGAAAAAGAGTTTAAAAACAGTGCTGTTGAAAAGGACCTGACAGTTTCTTCCAAACTAACAAAAGAGTCCTTGATCAAAAGAGAAGAGTCCTCATCTTCCTCCACTACATCCTCCTCTTCAGAGTATGGTGGTGAGCAGAGGGGTTTTTCCATTTAAATTCAGACTTAGTGAGAACCCAATATCTCCCCCCACCTCTCTCCCTCCCCATTCCCCTCCTCTCCCCTTCCCTTCCCTTCCTTGAGACAAGGTCTGGGTCTCTGCTTCAAGGAGGGCTTGAACCACCCAGGCTGGCCTTGAACTCATAGCAGTCCTCTTGCCTCAGCCTCCTAAGTTCTGGGATCACAGGGGTGGATGCACGCCCTACTCAGCAGAGAATCTCAATCCTAAGAGCAGCTATCCCACTATATATGCACTCCAGTTTCTCCACCAGTTTGATTTTCTGGTCATAATCTGTGTCTCTTAATTTTCTGTCTATGGGCTGGAGATATGGCTCAGTGGGAGAGCACTTACCTAGCACATATGAGGCCCTGGGTTCAACTCTAAGCACCTCAGAAGTTTTGCAAGTAAATATAATTTCCCTGTGCTTCTGCTTCCTTTTGGCTAAGTATAGCAGTGGCTCTGCTCACTGTGAAAAGTTGTCTTGTGGTGACATGCCCTTTCCCTCTGTGTCCCCCAGTTCCTCTTCCACTGCCACCTTCTTACAAATGCCACCGGGTTTTAGCTCTTTTCCCGCTTCTGCAAATGCAGACACACAAGAAGCCTTCCTCCCTACAGATCAGCTGGACTGGGAGAACCTGGTGCACCAGAATCTCCCTGAGCTCCTGGAAATGGATCGGGACGAGTACACTCTGTGGCCCCGAAATTTACTCTTGCGCTATCTTGAGTTGCTGGAAGAGCTTCAGTATAATCTGGAGGAGCGGAAAGAGTTGCAGCAGTTGGCAGGTCTGACTTTGGGGCAGTCACAGAATTAGGGTTAGGGTACCTAGCGGCAGTCACATTCAGAACAGAGGAGTAGCATGTGTAACCAGCACCTCAGTCTCTGCCTGCGTGCCTCCCACCAGATTCTTGTTTTGTATGTCATCTTCCAGGCTTGTGTCCCAGTGGCCTCTAACTTTGAGAGAACCTAGAAACTCGCTTCTCCAGCAGGGGACGCCCAAATCCTACGAGCTCTGGGAGTTTGTTTCCCAGAAGAAAGGTGTTCTATTTTGGTTGCTGGGAATTAGGGCAAAGTGGATTTTTGCTGACATCACAGTCCACCTTCTTCTGCTCACATTCCTTCCCATTGAAGGTCAAATCTCAGAGCTGACCAGCTGGACTCTGGCTCCCCTTGGACAGGGGAGCTGAAGTGTGCTCTGTGGGCATTAGACAGGGAGCAGAGAGCCTCCAGGTGCCCACTGCCGCAGCCCCCAGAGGGGTTTCTGAATTACAGGCTTCTTTTTCTATCAGCCCTTTCTAGTTTCAATCTGGGCAGAGAGAAATAGGTGATTTAAATAGTAGATTTTGATACAAGCTGGGAACTAAGTGCTCAAAATTATTCTCTCACCCTGGGTGTGTTGGCATCCGCCACTCTAGGAGTCTGAGACAGAAGGGTCACAAGTTCAAGTTCACCCTGGGCAACCAGTGACTTAGTGAGACTTTGTCTCAAAATTTAAAATAAAAAATATAAAAAGGGCTGGAATGTAGCTCAATATGAAGAAGGCCCTGGGTTTAATGCCTACCACACACATTTTAAAAATCCTACTTTTGGACCGGGGATTTAGCTCAGTGGTTCTGGTGCCTGCCTTGCAAGTGCAAGGTCCCAAGTTTGATCCCCAGTACCAAAAAAAAAATCCTACTTTTCACCACTTGGGGGCTAATTTGAATTAATAACACCCCCACCCACCCACCCAATGTAAAACAAAACAAATTGTTAGGGCTGGGTTTTTTTAACAGCTTAATATCAATCAGTGTTGTCTGATTATCTTTCTTATACCTTGTTGAAATCAACCCAATGTGAAAATAAGAAATTAGGGAGGACTCAGTGTTTGTTTATGTGTGCATGGCAGGGGTAGGGGACACAAGGGGACACTAAATGACATTGGAACATGGGATTCTGTCTCAAAAAACAAAACAATGTCAAACAAACAATGTGAGGTGCGGTGGTGCACACCTGTAATCTCAGCACTTGGGAGGTTGGGGCAGAAGGATCACTGTGGGTTCAAGGCCAGCCTGGGCCGCTAGCAAGATCCTGTCTCAAAAATAACAAAACAGGGCCAGAGATTTATCTCAGTGGTTCCCCACCTGCCTTGAAAGCACAAGGTCCCGAGTTCCACCCCGGTACCAAAAAACCAAAAGAATAAAGATAAATCAAGATTTGTGTGGGAGCCAGGCATGGTGGCACACACCTATTATCCCAGCACTCAGGAGGCTGAGACGGGATAATCACTGCAAGTTCAAGGCCAGCCTCAGCTACAAAGTGAGTTCAAGGCCAGCCTGAACTGCATAGCAAAATCTTGTCTCAAAAGAAAAACAAAAAAAAGATTTGTGTGGGAATCTCGAACCCAGAAAAGAAAGGTCTTTACCAAACATGTATAGGTTTAGAATATTCTCAGTTCTGCAGCCTCACAGTCTGTTTCTTTACAGCACAGGCACTGATGAATTTCCAAGACAGGTAATGCCCACCACGAATGGCTTCAAGATTTTTGGGCCCAGCAAAAGATAATGAAGGACATAGTTGGAAATAGAAATTCAAAATTATCAGTGTCTAATAAATACTACGAATAATACTGCCATTGAGCAAGCTAATTATGCCTCAGACACAGGGTTTACCGAAAGCCCTGAGGACAGGCAGAAAAGCCCCTTTCCATGCCAGTGGGCCCTGAGCCAGGCTTCTCTCCTCTTCACAGGCCTGAGTCAGATTCCCTTCATTGTGGTGTTTTAGCCCATCCCTCTTGCAACCTGTGCTTCCTGCTGAGAGTCCTAATTGTACTTCTCCCCCATGACGGAGGCTGCACAGGCCTCTGTATGGGAGGAGCAGGCCCCAGAGGTGCCAGGCAGCATGACTGCTTGAGAAGTGTCATTCCCACACACGGTCTGCCCTGCTCAGGCTGCGTCTCCTGTGCAGCATGCACCTCAATGGCGAAGCACATACTGGCCTCTGAGGCTGAAAGACAGTTCCTTTCTTTATTCCATTACTTTGCCATTGCTCAGGGCAATGGTCAAAGCAGTAGGTGTTCAACAGAAACACTGTGTGTGTGTGTGTGTGTGTGTGTGGTGTATTGCACCTGGGGTCTCACAGACAGACAAGCAAGCCCTGTACCCTGAGCTAGCCCCCAGCAGGAGCACCTTTTATTTTTGGTACCGGGGATCGAACTCGGGCCCTTGCGCTTGCACAGCAGGTGGCGAAACCACTGAGCTAAATCCCCCGGCCCTAGGAAGACCTTTTAGAATATCACTGAAAGGCGAGCCTCTCGCTGCTGATCACTGTTTGTGGTTACTGGTGACTTACTGTTGGAAGGGATCCTGCTCCATTATTGGATGGCTGAAGTCTTTAGACTTGCTTGTTGGAAGAATTCGATCCCAGAGTGCTTGATGTATATGAAGATATTTTCATCTATAGTACATATCTATACGGACTATAGTCGTAGACTCTCTGTATATGAAATATGTGTGTATATTCCATAAAATAACAATGTATGGAGATACTGTTCTCCCATTTTTTAGACACCAGAAAATTGAGACTTAAAAAGTGTCTTAGTTACCTTCTCTTTGCTGGGACAAAATACCTGACACCCACCCACTTAAAGGAAGAAAGGTTCGTTTTGGCTCAGTTTGTAGAAGTTTCAGTCCTTAGTCCCCTGGCTCGAAGGCAGGGCAGCATGGCAGAGGAGAAACAGCTCAAGGCAGGGCAGCGGGAGGCAGAGAGTGAGCTCAAGGGAGGGGGAGAGAGGTAGACCTTCCAGGCCACGCCCCCAGTGAGGCCTCCGCAGACCAGACTTTACCTCCTAATACCGTATTTAGCTATGAACTCAACTGTGGACGAATCTACTGATGAATGCCAAGCCCCCACCATGCAGTCACCTCCCAAAAGCCCCTGCTATGGTCACATGAGGGTTTGGCTGAATGTCTAGATATAAACCATAACACCAAGAGGTAGAGCTGAGATTCTAACCTAGGTGAAAAATTGTGAGTTTAAGCCAGGTGACAAATGGTGACAAATGCCTGTAATCCCAGCACTCCAGAGACTGAGACAGGAGGATTGCTGCAAGTTCAAGGCCAGCCTGAACTACACAATGAGATCCTGTCTCAAAAAAAAAAAAACCAAGAAAATTAAATAATTATGGGTTGAAAAAGTTTAAATTTAAACACTGGAATAGTTCACTCTGTTGTCTCTTTAACATAAAATCCACTGTGGTCAGAGTTGTGGTTTGTTTCTTGGCAGTTCTCGTCTCTGCTTTCCTCTGCGTGTCCACACTATCTCTAGGTAGTCAGGTGATTTCCCTGAACTCCTAGGCCTAGATACCTGTTTACTCACGTCCAGGGAATGGTAGACCGTGACTCACTTCCCAGTTATTGAACGCAAGCGCTGAGCTCTGGGTCAGAGCGGTTATTCTTGGAGCGAGGCCGCTGTACAGGAGGAGGCCTCAATGCAGTAGTGTTCCACGACTCGTGCAAGGCGCTCACACACGTGTACAGAGATGTGAAGATTCAATGAGCTGTACATTTACGATTTGGACTTAAACCGTATGACTTAGTCACTTCCATGTTGCTGGGACAAAATACCAATGCCCACAACTTGTCTCTGGGCTCACAGCTTTTAAAAGTTACAGTCCACAGTCAGTTGGCACCAAAGCTGAAGCAGCGCGGCAGAGGGGCGTGGTTGAGGAGACCAGTTTATGTCCTGGCAGCCCGAAGCAGAGGAGGGGAGGAGCTGGGGAGGGGGAGACACCCTTCCAAGGCCACGCCCTCTGCTCCGCCTTCTCCATCTGGCCCCGCTCCTGAAGCACATTCAGCTACAAACTCATCAGTAGGTGAATCCACTCGTGAGTACAGCACCCTCAAGATCCAGTCACCTTCCAAAAGTCCCGCCTTTGAATAGCGAGGCTTTGGGGGGACATTCTCGATCTAAACCATAAGTCTGCATATAAGTTGAACCACACACACACACACACACACACACACGACCTAAACACCACTCTGCACCAAGAAGTTAGGTCATTGCTTACGCCTGCACCAATCATGGTGGCAAGGTGGATGGAATCGCTAAGGCTTTCTCCCGGAGCTAGAAGTAGGGCCAATCACACTCCTAAATTTAAGGGCTGCTACCCAATGGGGAAGGGATGAATCGGTGGTAACGAGGCAGTTATAAAGCCCTCCACAGCAGTAATTACCTAAATGCATGTGTGCCCGACAGGTCGAGTAGAGAAAATGAACACGAACCTACAGAACAGGCAGATCCAGGAGCAGAAAGCAGATCAGTGACTGCCCAGGGTCCAAGAGGCTGAGAGGTGAGGGAGAGGGAAAGGAGAAATAAGGAGAATAAAGATATGCCATGGGACAGGAACCTAATAACCTCAGAGAATGGAAACACTATGTGCCATAAACATGACCTAAGATTAATAATATCAACAAGAATGAAAATGGGGAAAAGGGAATTAGAGGAGGAGGGAGGGAGAGGAAAGATTTTAAAAAGAAGCAAGTTGTATTATATACATGTACCCACTCCCCAAAATGATTGTAAACAGTATGTCCTGCAAACATATACTAATAAAAATAAAGTTAAATAAAAGCATGAAGACACATACCTGTAATCCCAGCTACTTGAGAGGCTGAGGCAGGAGGATCAGAATCTTAAGGTCAGCCTGGGCAATTTAGCAAGACATTGTCTCCAAAAAATAAAAGGTAGTGGGGATGTATGTAGCTTAGTGATCCCTGGGTTCAATCCCCCTTACCGCAAAGGAAAGAAAAAATTTATTTAGAAATACTTTGGACCTACAGAAGAGTTGCAGAGATGCAGTTGCCAAATGCCTGTCATCCAGCTTTCTCTGGTAATATCTATGATACAAGGAGCAAAGTTAAGAAATCAACACTGCCATATACTACCCACAAAACCCTGTGTCCTCTTCCTGTTCTAGGGTCCAGTCGGAATAAAACACTATTTAGTTGCTAGTCTCCTTCATTTCCTCTGGTTGTGGCTGTTGCCTTAGTCTCCTCTGGTTTCTTATGCCCTTGGTGCGTTTAAAGAATTCTAGTCTAGGATTTTGTAGAATGTCCCTCAAGTTGCGTTCATCTGATGTTTTCCATGATGGTATTGACATTATGAGTTTTTAGAAGAATTTGCACTGAGAGAAAGTCCCCTCCTCAGCACATCGTACAGAAGATGTGTGTTATAGTGATACTGACCCTGATCCCTTAGGGCAGGGTTCGCTGGGTTTCTCTCCTGTGAAGTTAACCATTTTCCCTTTATAATTAATAAATATTTGGGAGGAGATACTTTGAAGTTACATAAGTATTTGTTTCCCCTTAAACTTCTGCCCACTGATTTTTGCTTTCATCGGGGACCTTGTTTGCAGTAATTACTACCGTAGAATTCTATTTCTCTCATTCTTTCAACAATTACTAATCAGAGTTTTTCATAAGGAAGAATTGTCCCTTCTCTAAAGAGAACATTTTAGGTCCTTATTCATGTAGAAGCAGCAAACTCCTCAACAGGATAGAGATCTTAGCCTCTGTAATGTGGGCCAGGGATATGTGGAGTAGGCTCCATTTATTTAACAAATTCTTTGTTTAACACTCTGCTCATAATAGTTCTAGGCACAAGCCCTCATCTCTGCTCTGGAGCTCATGGTCTAGTCTAGGATGAGATGACACTTCAGTTTTTGCATTGAAGGCTGGGTAGTCTCCTCTGAATAGCATATTTCCCCACAAAATCCTGTTTAGGACAAATAAGGATGTTTTATCTGACCAACTCTGTGTTTTTCTCCCCTCTTCAATTAGGACATACTGGAACTCTTCTCCCATCCTGTTTGTGTCCCTCTCCACTTCTAACCAGAGGTCTCCTCTGCTTTGCCTTTTCTCCCCAAATCTCATACTACTTTTTCTTGTTGGCCAACTTAATATAAACCATTTAGGAAAGGACTCCTGGAGATTCATTCCAGTTTTGTTAAACTGACAAAGTTCAAAACCACCACAGATTGGTTTTTTTGGTACCGGGAATGAAACACCACAGATTGTTTTGACCATGTGTCTTCAGTAAAATTTTTTCTTTCTTTGGCTATGTGACCTCTTTTCAGGTTTTCCTTTGGATGACTTTTTCTCTGCTTTGGTTTCTGGCCATCTTCTTTCCAAGCTCTAAATGTGTGTTGCTCAGTTTCTTTTCTTTTCTGCAAACTCTTAACTAGGTTCATGCAGTTTTATTGTTTCAACTACCACATGATGTATGCTAATGACTTTCAGTTCCACTTTCTCCCCAGGCCTCTCTTTAAACTTTGGGGGAATATCCAGGGACCTGTGGACCTCCATTTGTCTTTCCTCATACACTTTATTCGTGATGTGTCCCACACTGAGTGCATTACCATTTCTTCGAGCCTGTTCCTCTTCTAATCCCAGTGAGGACCACCAAGCAATTTCCTCATTGATCCATTTCCTGCTTACTTGAGACACCATTTCTTCTACCAGTTTTTGCATTAAGATAATTGTAGTTGCAAAAAAAAAAAAAAGAAGAAGAAGAAGAAGGGGATTCATTTGGGGCTGGAGATATAGCTCACTGTTACAGTGCTTGCCTAGCATGTGCAAAGCTCTGGGTTGGATTCCTACCAACACACACACGCGCGTGCGCTCCTCTAGACATAATACTGGTACCATCTAGTGGGTCTGTGCTAGTGGGCTGTGCATCATGGGCACCTTATAATAAAAGGGAATGAGGAAAACTGGATGGATGCACAAACTGCAGACAGGTAAATTCCAGAAACTTCTCCTCCTCATCAGACTAATAAGTGACAGGATGGGGACCTAGACTTCAGAGATACAATAGCAAAATGCTAGCATAATTTAATTTAGGGGAGTCAAAGGCTGTGCCACAAGAACAGATTGAGCCCTAAATCTCAGGAGTCCCGCACAAGAAAAGTTTATTTTTTATTCATGAAAATTCCAATACTGTTTAGGCAACTGTTAAGGGCAACTGCAGGCAATTTTTATTATCTGCAGTAGTTATATTCTATACAGTTACTGGAAACAATTGAATTAACAAATACTGAACCACTGTGTCTAGGGTACAGGGTTGGGTTCTTGTGAGCCTCTGGTTACATTTTAATCAAATGATCACACATAACCTTGTTTTGTTTCTTTTTCTGGATACCTATTTAATATGTTATTGTTTATTGACACCGAACACATGGCCATCAGCCCCTCATTTTCTTTGTCCGGCACATCAGGACCTTGAATTCAGCAACACCAGACAGCTCTTTAGCACTCAGCTTGAGAGCTACTTTTTTTTTTTTTTTGGTTACCTGGATCCAACCGCGGTCCTTTGCGAGGGTCACCTAGCTTTAGCTTGGATTTGAGGATC